TCCATTAAAACAAAGAGGGAGCAGTTTTCTCTCTAGCTGAGATGCTGGAGGGATGGAAGTCTAGAGCTGCCTGGAGCTGGGGTTGCAGACAGCCACGTGGGGACAGAGTACAAGCAGCCTGCAGAGATATGCTGAGTTAAGATACGAAGAAAGACAGAACCCTGGTTGAATCACCATGGAAGCTGCCTTCTCCTCTGTATACTTTGATCGTGGGTGCTCAGCCTGTTTTTTTGGTTTTGTTTTGTTTAAGCTCACTTAGATTAACTTCCTCACCATCAACAATGAGAAACACCCCCAAAACATCTCCCTCCCAAAACATCTCCCTGTGTAAGATTCTGGAAACTTTTGGCCACTCCATTCCACATGACCAAATTTCTACAAAGGTGAACCAGACACACGTCATGTCTGCCACCAGTCTGGTGCTGACCTGCCAGGTAGTGCAGGATGTGCCATGTTGTTTGAAGAACATCATGTGGAGGACAAGGGTACAGAGGGAGGCTATACAGTGTGCCAGGACACAGCCCTGGGCAGAACTCCATACTCTTTGGGATTTTGAACACTCTTTCTTCACAGGAATTTTTGGAGAGGGGCTGGGCAGTGACTTGGCCATGGTCATGTCCGTAAACCTCCCAGAGGAATAAGGTCCCGCAAGAGTGTCAGCAGATGTGGGCTGTTCCCATCCTCTGGGTCTCAGATTCACTTCAGAGGAGCCTGTTGGGACCCCCTAGTAGGGATCATCTTGCTCTTTCCCCATCACACTTGAGCCAAGCAGGTGGCTCATTGGGCTTGGATTTTGCCCATTTAAACAGGACCCACAGACACCTGCAAAGTCCCACAACATCTTCCTGAGCTTGCTGCACCTGCTGGCGTTCAGCACAGTTCTCCCCACTCATCTTTGATCTCAAAAAAGATCATCTTGAAAAAGATTGTTTTGTGTGCAGTTTCACCAAACGCCATTTTTTTTTTCACATTTTGCCTGAGTTGCTCTCCCCACTCCCCTTCCTTTTATTTCTTTCTTGGATTTGCTCTGGGGTTGGCTTCCTCCAACCAAAATAACTCTCACAATGCATGTGCTTCCTGTGGGTGAATGACATCTGTATGAAAAGATGGCAAAACTGGCCGATTTCTGTCCTTTGAAGATGTTTGTCAGTGAGTCGGTGCTGGAGTGTCAGACGTCACCCGGGGTGACTGTGGAAATGCCGGCAACAGTGAGCTTTTTTCCAGAAAGCCTTCAGCCTAAACTTTAGGCTCTCCAGGGACCCAGGAGCAGCATCCATTTTCTGAAGAGATTAAAGGCGATGCTGGTTAGAGCAGCTGGTATTTTCTACTATGTTCCCAGCAGGGCCCTGCAGCAGTGCTTTGTAACTCACCTGCTCTGCCTTTCCTGGTTCAACTCTGTTCCCTTCTTTGTGACTTGTGTGCCGCCTCAGGGGATCTAGTAGCTCCAGGCAGACCCCTGAGAGGAGGGGAGAAGGGGTGCCAGCAGTGCCTCTGTGCCTCTCCTACGGGAGGGGAAGATTTCAGGGTTAAGAATGTGGCTCATTCTGGGTTCAGATCCCAGCTCTGCCATCTTCACTGAGCCAGTCACTGAAGATCACTGTGTAACCTCCCTCTGTCCCCTTGTCCTCCACATGATTACTTCTCTGAGTCTCAGTTTTCTCATCTGTAGAATAGGGCCATTTGGTTTAGTGAAGACAGTATAGGCAAAGCACTTCCTTAGTGTGGTGCCTGGCACAGAGTGCTTAATAAATTTTAGCTGATGCTCACTTCCCCAGATGCACCCTGGCTGAACCTCCATTACAGCCCACGTACCAGCTGTATTGAGGTTAGTGTGACTTCCAGAGAGCAATGTTATTTTCCCTCCATGCTGTTTCCCTGTCCATAGTAGTGTTCCATACCTGGTCTATCCAGTGGACTCCTATTCCTCTGTCAACACCCACCTCTCTTTTAAGTATTCACTGTGGGCAACACCTCCACCCCAAGGTTGACCACAAATAAAGACTGCTTTGTTTATATAGTGGCATTTTTCCATATGTGTTTGTGTTCCTATCAAGAGCAAGTCCTCCAGCCCCTGGGCCTCCTCACCCCCATACATTTTTGGTTTCTACAATCCCTTGTCTACCTCTCTGTCAGAGTGTAGTACTGATTGCAATATCTAATTCAAGGAATGGCAAACTCCCATGAGCAGAGAGGGGCAGATAGTAACATTAATGATGGATTCAGCCCCAGGTAAGCAGGAGGGAGTTTGGTTGGGAAACTGGGATTCCAGACAGCTGGGGAGACATGACCCTGCCCTGGAGAAATCAAACTGACTAAAACATTGGACTAGGTGGCTGAAATACCCGGCTGCTGGCCGCCTGCAGCTCAAACCGATTGTGGTTCTATCCTTTCCTCCCCTGCATGGAGACTGTGAGCTCCTTGAGGTCAGGAATGCCCTTCCCTCATGACTTCCAGTCCCCTATGCTGAGGAGGGGGGTGCGGGCAGTGACACACTGTAGGGGTCAGCACACTTTTTGATGAATGAACAAATGGATTTGCTGTTGGCCTACTCAGTCATTAAAAAAATAAGACGTGCAATGTGGCAATTCTGGAAAGAATAAATCAGCAAAAAAGAAAAAAAATCACCTGCTTCTGAGATAAATCTTTATCACTGTTTTCTTAGATTTTTTGTCCAAATGTAACAAACATACAGAAAAGGACACAGATCAGGGGCTCCTGGGTGGCTCAATTGGTTGAGCTCCAACTCTTGGTTTCAGTTCAGGTCATGATCTTAGGATCGTGAGATTGAGCCCCACATCAGACTCCACACTCAGTAAGGAGTCTGCTTGGGATTCTCTCTCTCTCTCCCTCTCCCCCTTCCCCCAGCTCCTGCTCACACACACACAGTCTTTTTCTCTCCCTAAAATAAATCTTTAAAAAACACTCAGATTAACAAATAGAACATCTCTGCTGCCACTCCTGAAGCCGTATCATGTCCTCTCCGGTCACTGCCAACCTGCCCCCCAAATATTACCCATTTGGACTTCTAACAGCACACATTAATTTTGCCTGTTTATAAATTTTTTGTAAAGGGAATCAGCCAGTATGTGCTATTTTTTGTCTGGCTTCTTTCACCAACATTGTGCTCTCAAGATTCACCCACATTGTTGTGTGCAGTTGTGGTTCATCCATTCTCATTGCCATCTAGCATTCTTCTGTATGAGTAGACCACAATTTATTCATCCATTCTCCTGTTGAAGGACATTTGGGTGGCTTCCAGTTTGGGATTCCTACAAGAGCACTATTAGGAATGTTGGTACACAATTGTCTCTTGGTGTAGAGGTGCAGGCATTTTCCTGCGAACAGTGGGGTTTCTCCATCTTGTCACTGTTGACATTTGGGGCTGGATGATTCATTCTTGTGGGGACTTCGCTGGGCATTGTAGGATGGTTAGCAGCATCCCTGGCCTCTACCACTAAGTGACAGTAGCAGCTCCCAACCTGTGACAATCAGGTGCCTCCAGGGATTGCCAGTGTCCCATAGGAGGTGGGAAAAATCACCTCTGGTTGAGACTCAAGGCTTTGTATCAAGGAGTGGAATTGCTGGGTTACAGAAGGCATATACATAGCTTTAGTATAGTGGTTTTCCAAAGTGGCTGTAGCAGTTTACACTTTTTTTTTTTTTTTTTGAGACAGAGAGTGTGAGCACTTGCACATGAGCGGGGGGGGGGGGGGGGGGCAGGGGCAGAGGCAGAGAGAGAAGCAGTCTTACCTTGAGCAGGCACTTGACATGGGGCTTGATCCCAGGACCCTGAGATTATGACCTGAGCCGGAGGAAGATGCTTAACTCACTGAGCCCCCCAGGCGCCCCCCAGGTTATACTTCTGCCAGCTGTGTGACCTAATCATTTCTCTAATGCCTGTATATATAACATACATACATTTTAAGGAATGAAACCATACTGTAAATCTTGTTCTGACTCCATGCTAAGTTACATGATCTTTTCTTTTTAAATGTTTTATCATTTATTCTCCCATTAGAGAGTAATAAAGTGTTTGTTATTAACTCTGGAATCTGACTTCCTTTAGTTTATTACCCAGTTTTGCCATTCCAGCTATGTGGCTTTAGCAAAGTGACTTATCTCTCTGTGCCTCAGTTTCGTCTTCTGTCCAAAAGGACAATAATGCCTGCTTCTGTTCTTTGGAGGATAATATTTGCATGATAAATATTTGGATATTTATATGAGTTAAGTAATATGTGTGAGGCACGTGAACAATGCCCCAGCATGGCAAATGCTGTGTTGACGGTTTCTACCCATTTTAGAGGCTATATAACATTCTCTCATTTTATGTCAGTAAGCTTCAGTATGGGATGGTTAGTGTTTTTCAGTTTGGGTTTTGAAAAATAGATTTTGAAAAAATATATATATCAGATGCCTAGTTAAATTTGAATTTCAGATAAAAAATAATATTTAATCTAAGTACAGCCTGTACAGTATTTGGGATGTACTTATACTAAATAATATACATTGTTTATCTGAATTCACACTTATTCAGGAGTCCTTTATTTTATCTAGCTATCCTCTTTTTCTATTAGAGAGCCTGTGTACTCACACATGAGAGTGGAAGGGAGAAAAGAGAATTTCAAGTAGGTGCCCATCACGGAGCCTGACTGGGGCTCCATCTCACAAACCTGAGATCATGACCGAGCAGAAATCAAGAGTAGATGCTTAACCAGCTGAGCCACCCAGGTGCACCATTATCTAGTTATCCTCTTAATTATAGTTTCTTTCTCTTCTGAGCATCACAGTGATTAGCATCCTGGAAGCTGCATCTTTGCACACAAATGTGTCTCCCAAACTTACTTTCCCATTTGAATCACCTTGGGGGCTTGTTAAAGTGCAGAATCCTGACCCTACCCCAGATTTCTTGAAATTGAATCTCCAGGGCTGAGTTGAGTGAATTTTTCACCAAGGCCCCAGGTGACTCAGAACCAAAACTTTAGGGTACACTCCTGTTGCCCATGTTTGTGATGTGCTAAGTGGAAGGTGGGGCAGGAAAATACTTTTCTTTGCTGCTCCCTGCCTGGTCGGCTCTCCCCATTGGGTGAAGGTAAATAAAGGGCCTGGCCTTGCCTAGCCTTTCTGGGGACTCCTCTGCCCAAGGCCTCTAGTCTGGGTCAAGGGTTGAGGGGGTGTCCCTTCTTCAGGCTGCCCCTCACGCTCAGCTCAGAGGCTGCCCCAGCTTTACAGGAAGTGACACTGAACTTTGGCAGCAGGAGGAATGGGTGGGGGCGGGAGCATGGGCACCAGGACCAGCTGCATTGATTTCTGTCTGCAGTTCTTGGAACGCCTGTCATGAGGAAAACAGACAGTGGATAAACAGTAAAGGCGGCATCGGCAGCAGGGAAGACGTGGCTGGCCTAGGAACTCGTCTCAGCTCAAGGTGCCCACCACATTCTGGCCACCACTGTGGGGGACCGGGCATGGTGCCCCTCAGGCCCAAACCTGAGGTCTCTGGAGATCCCACCATTTGGCCAGGTAAGGTTGAGCCCGGCCATGGGGTAGGACCTGGGCTCCCAGAATCGCTGCCCTTACCCTGTCTCTGCCTGGCCAGAGCCTCAGGGACTCACAGTCCATTCATTCAGTCCTTGTGGGTCTTCTCTGGTCTAGATTGGGCCATGCTGGGCCTGAGGGCTTGGTGGACAGAGCCTTTGCCCACCGCTGGCTCCTATCCCCTCTGAGTCCTGCCTGCAGGAGCACTCGCTTCTCTGACTTTGGAGGACAGATCTGATTTTTTTTTCATCACAGCCTCTGCCAGGCACCCCTGGAGCTGCCAGGCCACCGCCAGCTGGGCAGGCCATCCTTGTCTCCTCAACTCAAAGCCACAAAATTACAGCTCAGACGGGATCAATATGATCAGGTCGAGGGGCCTTCAGAGGATGATTTTGCTTTGAGGAGAGGTCATAGGGGCCTCAGACTTATAAATATATTATTATTTAAGAGAGGATTCCTGGTGATCTGTAATTGTTTGTTAGCTGGGGAGTCAGCCTCTCTCTGGCCTCCTGGATGCTCTCTGGGGCAGAGCCAATGTGTCCAGGCAGTTTAGGTTGCGGTGGGTTAGGTGCTTTCCAACCCCTGCAGGATTTGGGTCTGAGGAGGGAAACATTCACCTTTTTTCCACATTTATTTGCTGCTGAAAGCTTGTTCTGGGCACAGACATTTTGGAGGGAAGAACTCATCGAGCAAATATTTTAATTATAGTGTTGTCTTTCTTTTTTCTTTCTTTAAGTGTTTATTGTAGGCTGGGCATGGTTTTTGACTGAGGGAGTAGTGTTGTGACCAAGCCAGATGCAGACCTTGCCCTTCAGATTCAGAGTTTGTAGTCTTCATTATGTACCCCTATTGGAGAGGAACCTAGGCTTCAGAGAGATGGAGTAACTAGCCCAGGGTCACTCATCAAGAGGCTCCTACCAGGTTCAACTTTTCCTAGCAAGTGAAAGAAAATAGTCTCCACTTAACTAAATGGGAAACTAAGTCTGAATAATAGTGATGATGATAACAGCCAGCATTAATTGAGGGCTTACTATATGCCCGGCACCATGTTAAGCGAGTTCCTGGAAGTTGATATGATCACCCCATTTTTGTAAAGTTGTGAAAGCTAAGGTTCAGAAAAGTGAATTCACTTTCCCAAAATCACAGTTCTCAATTGGCAGGACTGGCGTGTGAACCCAGGACTTTGGCTTTCAGCCTCAAATACCTACTAAATAGGTACTTTCTGGGGTTCCTACTAAAGCATCGTGCACTAAAGAGGCAGGTTAGGATCATCACTTTCATAAAGGTCAAGCATTTGAGTGGGAAGTGTGCAATTGAGAATATTAATCCACTGCCGACTTTATCATACGCTCCACTAAGGAGTACAGAACACCTGGCATCATAATAGCAATAATATTAACAGTAACAACAGATCCCATCTATGGAGCATTTGAGTAATTCCAGTGTGTTTCTCACACAGGGGAAACCTGAAGAACTTAAAACACATAGTAGCTTTATTATTCCCATTTGACAGATTAGAGAGTTGAGGTGAAGAGGGACTGAGTCACTTGTCCATGATCATAGCCACAAAGTAGCAGAGCTGATTTGATTGTGGTTTGCCTGAACAGCTCCCAGAGATTCCCTGGCTCTGCCAGAGGCTGTTCCACAGAGCACATGCTGGTGTCTTTCTTCCTTCCGGGTCTCCTGGAAGCTCAGAGCAAGGAAATGACTCACCTCAGTCCCTTTCATCACTCAGTGGTGGTCCAGTTCTTTCCAGTTTGCAGTCTCCTTCTAGTCCTGCCTGAGACTCATATTTTTCCCCCTTAAATCATCTTCTCTAATCAGGTCAGCTGTAGAATATGGGCCCCAAAATAATAATGCCAGTGCAGCCACTGGATTTCCTGCTTGCTTAGCAGGATGGAAACTTTGATGTGGGTATGTATGTGTCCTTTAAAAAACCCTTTATTTACTCTGCTCTTGTTTTTATAAGATACGACTCTTAACGAGGCTTTAATTCAAGGTCAAAGAGTCTAGAAGTTGGCAAGAAAGCCCATTGCCCCTCTGGGCCTTGCCAGACACATAAACAGCCAATGGCTGGCTTTTTTCATCTCCTCTTTTAAACAGTCCCATTGCAACAGAACTCTTCCTTGCATGAGGAGGTAAAATATTTGAACTGACTGTATTGCCTGTTCCTAACTGTTTGCAAATGCAGCTGGCCCCCCTCATCTTTGTTTATTTTTTCCTTTTCTGTAGTTCAAGGAAAATAATTTATTAACTTGGGAATTAGGGATAATATTGTTCTGTAGCCCCGCAGCCGCCTGAGGCCCGGGCCAGCCTGCTCTGCTTGCAGAGTTGAGAGAAGCTTTTCTGTCAAAGGCCCAGCCGTGGCCAGGCCCAGCCGGATGGGGCTAATATATTCACAGTCATGATACGAAGACCCCAAGTGTCTGGAACCCTAGCCTCTGGGGACCAGCGGGGCCACGCCATCGACCTGAACTCCCTGGACTGCGCCCCTGTCTAAATCCATCAGGCTGGCTACCCCCAGTCTTGGACCACTGAATAATTTACGGTCCTGCGGAACGGCGAGCAGCGGGTCACTGGAGTTCATGGGTTAATAACAGGTTTGGTTTTCGATGTCAGCAGCTCTCTTGATAACGTATGAAAGAATCCTATTCTGTTGATTAGATTTTGAAATGGATCAATTTTTAATCAGCCAAACACCTGACTCACTCAATAAGAGTTGCATTGTGGAGACAGGATAGAGGCCGGCTTTATTTACAAGAGTGTTTGTTTTTTGGGGGCCATACGCAAATTCCCACTCAGATCCCTCCTCCTGGAAGAAATTGACCGGATTATCTCCCACCTCAAATGGCAGCATTTGATTCACCTTCTGATTAGTTGGGAAATCCATGGGTCTGTTTAAGAGATAAGAACAGCAGCTAAAGGGTTGATTTAGTCATCCGTGGTTATTGATAGAAAAAGCATTTATTTGCCAATGGAGAAGTTTTGCTTAATGTAACAGCAAGGAAGAAGGGAGGAGACAAAGGGAGTCCAGGCAGTAGCCAGGGGTGGCAAAGGCGTTTTAGCTCTGGAGGTAGTTGGGTTTTTAGCCCTGTTCTCAGATTTTCAGAACAACCTATGGAAGTGGGCAGAAAAATAAACTGGGTGCATATGGATTCATTTTGGAAGGGAGTTGTTCTGATCATTTTATTTATCCATTCAGCAAACATTTGAGCCCACAGTGTGTTCCAGGCTCTTTGTTGACCCGGGATGAAGCCATTACTGAGAGAGACACAGTTGCTGCCCACACAGAGCACACATTCTGGTGAGAGGCTGAGGCAGGCAGTTTAGAAGAAATTACAGAGTATACGAAGTGCTGCGAGGAAGCTCTGAGGAAAAAATAGCAAGAATATCTAATTCAGATTGTGGTTCAGGGAGGTCTCTGTGAGTGAAGAGAAATGGAAATTGGCCACCAGGCAGGGGTGAAGGCCTAGAGGCCAGTGGGCTGGGGGAGCCAAGAAGGGCCAGGTGGCAGATGAGAGGATGACAAGGGGAGAGAGAGAGGTAGAAGGGAGACTGGAAAGGTAAACAGGGCCTGAGTTAGGTAGAGGAAGGACTTTGGGTTTTATCTGCAGTGCCATAGGGAGCCCTGGAAAGGTTTTGAGCAAAGGAGTGGCTTAAGTTTGCCTTAGGAAAGGTCACTCTGAGGAGAAGGGGCTGTAGGAATGGTAGACCACTGCGGGGTCTCCTGCAGCCATGCAGTGAGTGGTGATGGGGATATGGGCCAGGGACACAGCATGGAGTGGGGTGAAGGAGATGGGCTCTCCAATTCTGGTCCATGGCCAGGTTCCTAAGGACATGGTACTTTGGGCCAGCTGGGGCCCTCGGCCAGCCTGAGGAGGCTGGTAGCCCATGGTGGTCTGGTCCCATGAGAGTGGAAGCATTCTTTGTGACAAAACACTGCTATATGTTGGCTGGTCCTCCAGACTTTTCCTCAAACTGGAAGAGCCAGGAACAGGGTGGTACAGAGGTTGCAGACTTGGGCTATGGAGCTATGGAGTCAGATGTGAGGGCTTCCAATCTCAGCACTGCCTTTTATAAGCTCGTGACTTCAAACAGACTGCTCTTTGCACATATAAGCAAGTGACAATAAATCTCAATATGGAACTTTCCAGAAGGACTCATAAGAAACTGCCAACAGTGATTGCCCTTGGCAGGGAGACTTGGTATAGGAGGGAGATTGACTTTGTCCTTTATACCCTCTTGTAGCCTCTGAACTTTTGCCACAGGCAACTATTACCTGGTCAAAATTATCCATGGCATTTGTGATATACTGTGACATTCACCGGGGTGGACCTGCAGTGGCATTTAGAGCAAGGACTGGTGTTAGTACCCTTGATTACAGATGAGGGTCAGAGAGGTACAGTCACTTGCCTACAATCACACAGTTGTACTTGTGGGCTCTGGCCCCTCTTGGGCCCGACCCTTTTCTCTTCCCAGTTCAGCTTGTCTTTCTTGTCACTGTTGGTTGAGGTTGTGAATTTGGTAGGACTTGGAGGAGCTGGACTTTCCCGGCATGAGTAGCGATTTCTCATTCCCCAGTGCTCTGCTCCAAGAACCATTGATTAGGTGGCTTTATTTATTAGTTTAATCTTTGTACATCCCTCAGTGCCGCTGTTCTTGTACCTGCATTGTCTGTCTTTTGGGGTGGGGCAGAAGAGCCTGCATGCATACCTATGTGTGTGTCTACAGGCCTGAGAGTATCCGTGTGGCTTTGGGATGTGGGGGAGGATGCCTCACTTCCCAGCTGCCTTTTATGCCCAGCAGATTCTCACAAACATCTTAATCTAGGCATTGCACAGAGTAATTGCTTGCTGATGGATCTCAGTAGAAAGAGCTATCTGACCTAGTGCCAGAAGGCCTAGGGTCTAGTTCTGGCACATCCACTTGCTTGCTGTGTGACCTTGAGCAAGCAAGTTCTCAGTACCTCAGTTACTCATCTGTAA